CCTCCTCCTCCTCCTCCTCCTCCTCCTCCTCCTCCTCCTCCACAAAGCCCACTCCCTTCTAGCACTGATGATGTTACCTAGCTGGTAATAAAATGTCTGCAAGAAAACCACAAAGCTCAGAGAGCATCAAGGATCACACAGTTCTCCTCCTCCTCCTCCTCCTCCTCCTCCTCCTCCCCCAGCAAACCCCATTCACCTCTAGCACTGAGGATGTTGCCTACTTTGGCAATAAAACGTCTGCAACGAAACCACCAAGCTCAGAGAGCACCAAGGGCCCCTTTAAACAGAGCCTCTGCAAATAGCAACACTCAGCTGATCTTGTAAAAAATAAAACAAAACAAATGAACAGAGAGCTTGCTTACTGCATGAAAGATTTTTGGGAAATCTGAGACTTAAACTGAACGTTGAAAGAGCCACCCCTGACAGGGGAGAAGTGGAAATATTCCCCCAGCTCTGGCTTGCTAAAACGAAAGGCAACCAGTATCGACATGTCTTCTATATAATTGGGAGCCAAACCTCAATTGCATCAAATTTCATCTTATTCATCTTTTATATGATTCTTATCTGGCCCGAATAGCTTTTTTTCCCCCTTTCGAATGATGGAATGTTTGACTCAGCCAGACACCCACAGCGAGAGAACGTTTATCTATTCCCCTTTGAAGAAGAAAGAAAAAAAAAACATATGGTAAAAACTGGGCAGCTGGCTGAAAAAGTTTTTCGTTTTGAGAACGTGAACGATGTAAACAGGGTGGCGGTTTGGCAGGTTTGTGGGTTAGCGCAATCCCAGCTCTTCCCGGCCTTCAAACAAAGCTGCCCTTTGTGCAATGGGCATTGCGGCTTCCCCAATTATGCGCCAGATGTAATTGGAAGAGAAACAATAACACACAAACACAAAGGCACACAGCGCGCTTTCCTTACTTCTTTAGAGAGCTGGCGGCGGGCCCCACATCTGAGTTCACGGAGACCCCTTCTCTCAAGTTCTCCTGACTGATGCTGGGGGCCACGGCCGTCTGGGAATGCTGGATCAGTTTCGCCTTGCCAACCTTGATGCCTTCGTATATCACGGTGAGTAGCGTGATCAAGAAAACGGAGAGCACCATCCCTGTTAAAAACACAGCAGAAACACAGGTAAGGGCTAATAAAGGAGAATAGAATACAGAACACAGACTAGCAGAGTTGGAAGGGACCTCGGAGGTCTTCTAGTCCAACCCCCTTGCTCAGGCAGGAAACCCCACACTATTTCAGACAAATGACTGTCCAGTCTCTTCTTAAAAACCTCCAGTGATGGAGCACCCACAACTTATGGAGCGAAGCCATTCCACTGATTAATTGTTCTCGCTGTTAGGGAAATGTCTCCTTAATTCTAGGTCCGTTGCTTCTCCTGCCTTCAGGTGCTTTGGAGGATAGCTTGACTCCCTCTTCTTTGTGGCCACCCCTGAGATATTGGAACCATGGAGAATACTTGTAGCTCAAGATTGGAAGGAAGAGTCCTTGGTGCTCTCTGAGCTTGGTGGTTTTCTTGCAGTCCTCCTCCTCCTCCTCCTCCTCCCATAAACCCCATTCCTTACTAGCACTGATGATGTTACCTAGTTGGGTCATGAAACGTCTGCAAGAAAGCCACCAAGCTCAGAGAGCACCAAGGACCCCACAGTCTTCCTCCTCCTCCTCTTCCTCCTCCCACTGATGATGTTCCCTAGTTGGGTCATGAAACGTCTGCAAGAAAGCCACCAAGCTCAGAGAGCACCAAGGACCCCACAGTCTTCCTCCTCCTCCTCCTCCTCTTCCTCCTCCCACTGATGATGTTCCCTAGTTGGGTCATGAAACGTCTGCAAGAAAGCCACCCAGCTCAGAGAGCACCAAGGAGCCATCCCCGATAAGGGCTGTTGGGTGGAAGAAAGGGAAGTAGGTTACCATCTCAGCGGGCTCTAATCGACTTCATATATTGTTAAGACCGGGGAGGGGGAAAATAGATCCCCTCCCCCATTTTAGACAAAAATGTTGTTGTTTTGACCGTTCGACTCTTGGCGAACTTTACAGCCAAGTGTTCTCCACACTTCCATGTCAAGCAGAACTTCCTCCAGTTGTTGGCTGGTTCGTCTTTGTATCAGTTTTGATGTCACCAAGCCAGATGTTGTCTTCGCTTGTCTTGTCTTCTTGTTCCACCAACCGTTCCTAACATCATGTCTACGGAGGTTCTCCGTCCTCCAGGTCATGGTTGTCCCAAAGGTGCTTTTTCAGGAGGCAACTGGACTTTCTTGTTTCTCTTTGAAGACGTTTCTCTTCTCGTCCAAGAAGCTTCTTCAGCTCTGACTGGATTGGTGGGGAATGGAAGGACTTATATTCCTCAAAGAAAAAGAAGAAAGTCCAGTTGCCTCCTGAAAAAGCACCTTTGGCTTTGCTAGCATCATGGACGTCTTCAATGAACTTGCACGCATGACCTGGCCAAAGTAAATCAGAGGTAGCTGTGTGATTTGAGTTTCTAATGATAGGTCTGGGTTTACACAATTCAACACCTGGTTGTTCCGGCTACCCAGGGTGCGCACAATAATTTATGCCGGCAACACAATTCAAAGGCGTCAATTCTTAGACCAAAATACTAGAGGTGCCACTGGGTGAACTTAAGAGACAAGCTTGCAAGACGCAAGGAGACCTATCCCGAGCGAAGGGGGCACAGCCCCAGCTAGCTAACATGGGCACTGGGAGTTATAGTTCAGCAAAATCCAGCAGGCTTTTGACGCTTGGCTCTTCGGCAGGCCCATCTGTGTGCAGCAAAGACGTGAGTATGACAAAACAGCCACCTTCAGCTTTTGTTTGCTTGGGAGCGAAGGGTACAATTAAGGCAGGGAATTGAGTTTCTTCCCAGGGTTAAACAACTTGGCTTCACTCCCCGGATTTTCTCCTTCTCTTCTGACTCCTGGGGGGGGGGGGGGAAACAAAAGTGCTTTTCACCACCTTCTTCCTGCTGAGAAATGCTGCCTTGTCAGGCCAGACTTGAGTAATGAAATCGTTGTCTCCGTTCATCTTGATGCCTTAATCAAGAGCCACGGTTCTTCCTCGTTTCTTGATCAACCAGCCTCACCAGATCGGATCTTGCCAAAGCCAACAAGATCAGGGATGGGACCGTCCTATTTACCAAAGCTCGCCTTCTTTATTTTGGAACCGGTCTGCCAGGACTCCTGAGCAGAAATTGATCGAGGCCCCTTACGCCGATCCGAGGTTCTAGACTTCTAGACAAGAGAACCCGCAAGATCAGGATGGGAAGCTGGTCTGGCTGCACGCGCGCACGCGCATCAGCTGCCAGCAGCGTCTTGATTTCCCAAGAGCTGGATTTAAGTTGCACGATCAGGTTAGGAAAGAAAAGTTAGAGATAAAGGCTTCTGCTAGGCTTTTCATTTGGAAAGCCCCCCCCCCCCTCCCCGCATGCCAAGGAGAAATAAAATGGAGACGGGGGTGGTTAGTGAGCATTCTAGAGCATTAGAAAATGGTGGCAAATGTCTGGAGCTCGGGTGTAGGATGAGGGCTCATGCCCCGAGCTTGTGGATTGGTTTCCGAACGTTTTCGTCAACAGGCTAGGTAACATCTTCAGTGGCATCTCTCCAATTTGCTTCCGTGACGGTGCAGACCTAGCTGGTACGCTTGGCAAATCATAACAGGATAGCAGAGTTGGAAGGGACCTTGTAGATCTTCTAGTCTAACCCCCCCTAATCAAGCAGGAGACCCTATACCAATTCAGACAAGTAAATGGCTGTCCAGTCTCTTTTTAAAAGCCACCAGTGATGGAGCACCCACAACCTCCGAAGGCAAGCTGTTCCACTGGTTAATTGTTCTCACTGTCGGGAAAATTCTCCTTAGTTCTAGGTTGCTTCTCTCCTTGATTGGTTTCCATCCATTGTTCTCTGTCTGGCCTTCAGGTGCTTTGGAGAATATGTTGACCCCCCTATTCTTCGTGGCAGCCCTTCAAATATTGAAACACTGCTATCACATTGCCCCTAGTTCTTCCTTTCACTGGACTAGACCTACCCAATTCCTGCATGTCGTGTTTGTTTCTGGTTTGCCCTGTGGCTTATTTGATAACCTAGCTATAGTTGTGAAAGTGGGACCTTAAAAAAGCAAGAGCCGAAGAAAATTCTTGGATGAGAAGCGAAACATCTTCAAAAGAAAATAAGAAAATCCAGTTCCTCCTGTAAAAAAAACACCGTTGGGATAACATCGCCGGCGTACTTAAGCAAATCCTTGCACTATAAACATGGCTGTTCTCCTTCCGTGTTGCATTTGCAACACTTAAGACTCTTCAAAAAAAAAAACCACAACCCTCTTAGAATTCCGCAGAGAACAGTTGAATTGTGTTCAAAGCAGTTGCTATGAATCTTGTAGCTAGCCTGGGTCCTTCAAGTTCATTTTTTTTGAGGGGTTCTGGGAAAACACTCTCAAGTCGAGTGTTTGAAGGAAATCTGAGATGTCAGTAGGGCAATTATCCCTAACTGCCCTTCCCCCGTGGCTAAAGCTCAGATTTCGTACAATCAGTCTAGCTTGAAAGACCTTTTTTTTTTTTGGTTGGGCAGCTCCTGTTTTCCTTAGATAAGTTCGTTTGCTCACCTCCGGCGCTGTGGACATCCCAGAAGTCAAACAGGAGAATCACTTTGTCTGAGAAAAAGAAATGCATCTGTAGGGAAAGTGGAGGCGAAAGAAAACACAACAAAATGTTAATATCTGCACGTCTTTGGTGGCTAGACCTTAGTTAATTCCAATTGACTTGCTGCTGTTAGATCTGGACTGTAAAACCCCAGCTGTCCACTAGATGGCAGCAAAGGTATCCAGAAAACGTTCTTTGAGGCCATCTAGTGGTGCTCCACGTTGTTTCAGCCTGAATCTGATAACTAACCATTCAAGGGACGTAGAGACCTTGTAGGTCTCCAATCCAACTCCTGACCCAAGGCAACAGTCCTTACACTTTTGTGGACAAATGGAGGTCCAATCTTTCCTGGAAAACCTCCTGTGATGGAACACCCACAACTTCTTGAGGCAACCCGTTCCACTGGTTAATCGTTCCCACTATCAGGAAGTTCTTCCTTGGCCGCAGGTTGTATGCTGAGCTTCCATCCATTGCTTCTTGTCCAACCCTTGGATTACAGATTACAGATTACAGTAAATCAATGGCTTGTTCCCAGTGGCAGCCCTTCAAGTATTGGAAGACAGCTATCATGTCCTCCCCCCCCAAAAAAATTCTTCTCTTCATTAGGCTAACGCTAACTAAACATAGCCCGACTTGTCCACCACTCCTGTTGTCTAGCTGTGACGTTTCCCATAATTTCATTTTACCTTTGCACTTCTTTGAGATAAGTGGACCCATTTCCAAACAAAACTCTGGGCTATAGGTGAGAGAGAGGGGGGGAGGAGAGGGAAAGAGGGAGAGGAAGAGGGAGAGAGAGAGAGATAGGAAGATAGATAGGAAGATAGATAGAGATAAGGATAGGGAGAGAAACAGAGAGAGAGGGGGGAGGGAGAGTAGATAGATAGATAGATAGATAGATAGATAGATAGATAGATAGATAGATAGATAGATAGATAGATAGATAGATAGATAGATAGATAGATAGATAGATAGATAGATGATAGATAGATGATAGATAGATAGATGATAGATAGATGATAGATGATAGATAGATAGATGATAGATAGATGATAGATAGATAAATAGATAGATGATAGATAGATAGATAGATAGATAGATAGATAGATAGATAGATAGATAGATTGATAGATTGATAGATTGATAGATAGATAGATAGATAGATAGATAGATAGATAGGGATGGATGGATGGATGGATGGATGGATGGATAGGGGGACAGAGAGAGAGAGATGGAGGGAGGGAGGGCGAGAGAGAGACAGGCAGGCAGGCTCATTGGACTTCATATACAGTAATTAAAAAAAGATTCGTAGTGGAGGCAAATTTACAATTTGTTTTTTTTTGGGGGGGGGAGGAATACAGTCTGAACAGGATAAAACCAGATGGAATGGAACGGCTAATAGGCAACTGGAGGCAGATTACCGTCCCTGTTTAATCTCTCGCCATGCTGGTTAGTATGAAACAATAGGCTGACTCTGTATGTGGTAATTATTCATCATGTGAGCTTTTTCTATGTGTGGGTAACCCATGATTATCTGTCATCTTACTCTTCCTAACTAAGGCCTCCGCTTTTCCTTCCCATCAGGCTTTTAAAAGCCGTTTGCAAATACAGCTGGTCTTTCTGCAAAGCATTTAAAACTTCCCGGAATCTGGAGTCCTCAGTTTGTACCTTTTTGACTGGAGCCAAATTCCACCCTCCCTCAGAAAAGGCGATTACAAATTGTTGTCGTGAATCACAACAAACAATAAGAAAACCAACCAGTCACTGGGGACAGAGGTGGGACCAAAGTTAGGGTAGAGGCAACGTTGGCGTCTCATCCGAAAGGATTCCCACAACAATTCTTCCCGCTTTTCCTTTCCCACTCGCAAAATCTCCATGTTTGCAGCTTGATCCTTTTGGAAGGGAACTCACAACAGTGCAATATTGCTAGGGGGCTGGACTAGAAGACCTCCAAGGTCCCTTCCAGCTCTGTTCTGTTCTGTTCCGTTCTGTTCCGTTCTGTTCCATTCCATTCCATATTTTCTTTTCTATTCTATTCTATTCTATTCTATTCTATTCCATTCCATTCCATTCCATCTATTCCATTCCATTCCATTCCATTCTACTCTACTCTATTTTCTCCATTTCATATTCTATTCTATTCTATTCTATTCTATTCTATTCTATTCTATTCTATTCTATTCTACATTCCATTATTCCATTCCATTCTTCATTTCTCTATTCTATTCTATTCTATTCTATTCTATTCTATTCTATTCTATTCTATTCTATTCTATTCTATTCTATTCTAAAATGGGGCACAACTCATTTAAGAAATGTCTCATTTAGCAACGGAAATGTTGGGCTCTGTTGAGGTCATAACTGAGCCTCTCCATGCTCAGTTTTGTCTTGGCTGAGGCTCTTCCATGCCCTGATCTGAGAAAGCATTCGGAGGCCTCTTCTCCCAATCTTGGCACTCGTGCTTCTTGTTACCTGGAGTTTGCCAAGGTTTGGGCTGGTGTCTAGGCGGGACTGGATTTGCCTAGGTGTGGTAAGAGTGAACACAAGTGGAGGAGGGAAAAAAACAACACCCACACCGCCCAAAAACAACAACAGCAGACGGTTTCTCAATCTGCAAGGGAGATTTCTGTGGCAACTCTCAAATCAGCTGGCTCTTTGTATAACGACTCCAATGGAAACTGTGGGAGGAAGTTTAAGAATAGGGGTTCTCCCACACTCATGTAAATTCCAAAACTAGAAGGAAGGTAACACACACACACACAGAGAGAGAAACACACATACAGAAACAATCCCGCTTGGATACATTGTGTTTTTGAGGGGTCCTTGTTGCTCTCTGCTCTTGGTTGTTTTCTTGCAGAGGTTTTCATCACCCAACTAGGTAACATCATCAGCCACCCAACCAAAGAACCACCAAGACCACCACTCCCACATACTCTTAACTGGAATATAAATTGAGAGCGAATCCCACTTCCTATTAGCACTGGTGAAGATACCTAGTTGGGTCACGAAACGTCTGCAAGGAAACAACCCAGCTCAGAGAGCACCAAGGACCCCACTGTCCTCCTCCTTCTCATCCTCTCCACAAACCCCGCTCCCCTCTAGCACTGATGATGTTACCTAGTTGAGTCCTGAAATGTCTGCAAGGGAACAACCCAGCTCAGAGATCCCCAAGGACCCCACAAATCCAGACTCTCCCTTCTAGCACTGATGATGTTACCTAGTTGGGTCATGAAACGTCTGCAAGAAAACAACCCACCTCAGAGAGCACCAAGGACCCCCACAGTTCAATCCTGAGGCTACAGACATTCTCCTTTATAAATTGTGTTTTTACGCGACGTGAATTTATGAAAGCAGTTCTGGAGAAGCAAAATATAGACCTAGAAAACCCAGGTTGAGAGTCTAGAACCCAGTTGGTCAAGCAGATGTTTCCGGGAAGTTCTCCAACCAAATTAAAAAACCATCCCTGTCCCTGAATGTGATTTCTCCTGCCCTCCCCCCATCAAGGATAGACCTCCCACTCAAAATGGCTCTTCCACCACCTATTTTTGCTAATAGTCTCTTTTCAGCTTGCCCTGTTTTCTATTCCAGCATTCCCCAACCTTTCCAGCAGCTTTGTGGACCCCCAGCGGTGGGGGGAGAAAGGATAGCACACATACCCACTGCTCACACAAATGGAGGTTCGCACATTCGCTGCTCACGTAAGTGTAGCTGTGCGTGCACACTCACCTGCCACGTCCGCAGCCCGCTTCTGAACGGGCCATAGCCTGGGGGATTGGAGACCCCTGTTCTATTCCCTTTTGCACCTTTCCCCCCCGTCCCAGACCAAATAACACAACTGCACTTGGGACAGGGAGTTCCTGGCAGGACAGTCTCTAAGCCCTCAGAAAACCAAGCAAGCAGTGGGTTAGTGTTAGTCCTCAGTTTCCCCCTTCTGATGTCACAACTGAGCAAGGAAAGAGGAACACGGTGTGTAAATTGGCCTCCAGAAGTTTTTGCAATGTTTTTCTCCTACTCGAGAACCTTAGACGTGGGTGTCAGGTTCAAAAATATCAGCACTGGTTGACATTATGGGAGAACAGCTGTTTTAGCGATGGCTCAAAGCTTCAGGAATCTAGTAGCCGTTTTTTCCAACAGATCGGCTTTCGTCAAGACCAAGCTCTCCCAAATTTTGTCTTTTAATAAAGAAAGTTGGTTGGAAAAGACGCTACCAGATTCCGGATTTTTTTCCCCCCTAGTCTAATATCTGAACTCACTGAATCTTAACTCGAAGAAGTTGTGTAGGTTTCCATTTTTACCAGTCCCACAGTTGGTTGACCAAGCTATTTGTTTTAATCACATCTCAATTGCCTTTCTGGTTTATATTCCTTTTGGCCCTTTGGGTTACATTTTATATCTTGCTTTGTTAATGAAGTAGCTGCATAACAAACATTTTTTAAAAAAAATAACACAACTTAAAGTGATCAAGAAGAACTTTGAAACTGACCCAACCATCCTGGATGTATATCATCAACTCTTTTTGTAACAGGGTTGTGTTTTTTTATGACAAAGTAGCAGCTAAGCAAAACATTTATCTTAGCAAAGAACCCACAGATCAAAATAAAAGACAGGCACTGGACAGGGAGACTGAGAAAGGGTTTCAATCAATGGGCGAGTCCCTATTTTGCTACATAACTGGGAGAAGTTACACAAAGGGATCGACTGATTCATAGTCGATCCAGTCTCCCCCCCGGGTTTTTTTTTAAAATAGCAGAGATGACATTTCTGATCGTCAAGGTTTTTGATGGGGAAGCCACGGGTTTAATGTTATTGTGGATTGCCAGAAAGACGGAGCAGAAAAAGCCAAATTGAAAATAGACTTACCGGCATCATTGTGATGTCTTTTCTTTTTTTTTCCCTCCACTTCTTTTCGCTGCTTTTGTGTTTTTCCCCCTTTTTTTCCCCAGTAGAAAAAGCAGTGCACAAAGCCAAGGCGAGTCAACGCGATCCTTAAAAGTCTTTGGCTTGGTTTCTGTTCGCCCCAGCTCTGCAGGTTCCGCCTTTGGCGAGAGTCACCAATCTGGGGTTAATGAAAATAAAGCCAAGAGATATGCCTGCAACCGAGAGGCTTCTGCAAGCTAATTACGCGAGCGGGAGGCGCAAGGCATGCTGGGGACTGTAGTTCCTGCCTCTGGATTTCGCCCCGCCCCGACTAGATTTAATCTTAAACCAACAGCGCGTCCTTGCTGCGCGCTGGGCATGAGTAAATCTCCATCCATCTTGAATGGATCTTGAACCTGGGTCTCGTGGATCTTGAAACCCGAGCTACTGTCCCCACGGGCTGCAATGTCCCATGATCCGTGGCTTCCCAACCAGAATTGGGACTTGTAGTCCGTTAAGCAGCTTGCAGGGCAGATGCAGTCAAGATCCCTTCTCAAGTAAGCAGGGTGTGAGTTAACTTTCGGCCCGATTGGTGCCTTCTGGGGGGAAAAATAAATAAATACACGCGTGTTGGGAGATGCTTCTCTTTAGCAATGGACAGATCAAGAGTCATCGCATCAAATCAAAACGGAGCCCAACCTGCTGCAGAGATCTGCAGGATTTTTTTTTCTCCTTCTTTCCGGTGAAAAGTCTTCGTGGGATCTTCTTTTTGGCACTGGGTGCAAATGGCTAGACCTGGTTTTTAGACTCATAGGGCTGGGAAAAGAACCTCTCCAGAGTTCGAATGCCTGCCCAAGGCAGGAGTCCTCGTGGGTTGTCCGATTCCCAAAGGTGCTTTTTCAGGAGGCAACTGGACTTCCTTCTTTGAAGACGAGAGCTGAAGAAGCTTCTTGGAAGAGAAGCGAAACGCCTTCCAAGAAAAACAAGAGAGTCCAGGGGCCCGGTGGAAAAAAAAGCCTCTCCATAGACAGGGTTATCCAATCTTTTCTTTCACACATCCGGCGATGGGACCTCTACAGCTTTTGGATGCAACCTCTTTGATTCTTGAATCGTTCTCACTGTCAGGAAATTCCTCCTCCTTTCCGGATTGGCTCTTTCTCTGACAAGCTTCCACCCGTTGCTTCTTGTCCTGCCCTCTGGTGCTTTGGAGAAATAAGTCGAATATGACAGCCCCTCAAGTACCAGAAGACAGTTATCATATCAGCCCTAATCCTTCTCTTCTCTTCTCTTTTCTCTTCTCTTCTCTTCTCCTTCCTTCCATCTATCTTATCTGATCTGATCTGACCTGACCTGACCTTATCATCTTTCCTCCCTCCCTCTCTTTCTTCTTCTCTTCTCCTTCCTTCCCTCCTTCCCTCCTTCCCTCACTCCTTCCCTTTCTCTTCTCTTCCCTTTTTTCCCTTCTCTCTTCTCTTCTCTTCTCTTCTCTTCTCTTCTCTTCTCTACTCTTCTCCTTCCTTCCTTCCATCTTATCTTATTTTATCTGACCTGACCTGACCTTATCATCTTTCCTCCCTCCCTCTTTCTTCTTCTCTTCTCCTTCCTTCCCTCCTTCCCTCACTCCTTCCCTTTCTCTTCTCTTCCCTTTTTTCCCTTCTCTCTTCTCTTCTCTTCTCTTCTCCTTCCTTCTTTCCATCTTATCTTATCTTATCTGACCTGACCTGACCTTATCATCTTTCCTCCCTCCCTCTCTTTCTTCTACTCTTCTCCTTCCTTCCTTCCCTCACTCCTTCCCTCTCTCTTCTCTTCTCTTCTCTTCTCTTCTCTTCTCTTCTCTTCTCTCCTTCCTTCCACCTAATCTAATCTTATCTTATCTGACCTGACCTTATCATCTTTCCTCCCTCCCTCTCTTTCTTCTTCTCTTCTCCTTCCTTCCCTCACTCCTTCCCTCCCTCTTCTCTTCTCTTCTCTTCTCTTACACATGCCTTAACTTATTTTATTTTTAAATTTACTTTCCATCTAATCTGGTGTCTCCAGGCATTTTACTGGAGCTACAGATCCCCCTGCCCCAGCCTGCCTTGCAAACTGGATGTTTTCTTATGCAGACCTCCCTTAAGGAGAAGACCAAGCCTGTATGGAAGGGCTTTCCAAATACTTGCACTTGAAGTCTTTCCGTTGGATCTTTTGACAGATGTTTCCGCCCACAGCCTGGACTGTTGGTTTACATTTCCTGCCTTCCCTGCTTGCAGCTTTTGCTTTTGATTTCACAGAACTCTTTTCCACCACTGTCCAAACTTTGCGGGGTGGTCTTTCAAAGGGATCTGACTTTAGAAATGATCTATGAATTACCTTTATTGATGAAAAGTTATCATTATCTCATGCCTAGCATCAACAGAATAAACCGAATAACAGAGATAGATAGATAGATAGACAGACAGACAGACAGACAGACAGACAGACAGACAGACAGACAGACAGACAGACAGACAGACAGACAGACAGACAGACAGACAGATAACCTTTATTGCCATTTTTTTTTTACTGTGGGCACAATGGCAAGTTGGAAGGGACCTTGGAAATGTTTTACTCCAATCCCCTTGCTCAAGCAAGAGACCCTATGCCATTTCAGACAAATGGCTGTCCAATCTCTTCTGGAAAACCTCCAGTGATGGAGCATCCATAACTTCTGGAGGCAAGCCATTCCACTGGTTAATTGTTAATTGCACTCCATTTTCTATTTCTATTCTATTCTATTCTATTCTATTCTATTCTATTCTATTCTATTCTATTCTATTCCATTTTCCATTTCCATTTCCATTTCTATTTCTATTCAATTTTCCATTTCTATTCTATTCTATTCTATTTCTATTTACTATCTCATTCTATTCTATTCTATTCTATTCTTCTATTTCTATTTACTATCTCATTCTATTCTATTCTATTCTATTCTATTCTTCTATTTCTATTTACTATCTCATTCTATTCTATTCTATTCTATTCTATTCTATTCTATTCTATTCTATTCCATTTTTCATTTCTATTCTATTCTATTTTCCATCTCATTCTATTCTATTCTATTCTATTCTATTCTATTCTATTCTATTCTATTCTATTCTATTCTATTCTATTCCATTCCATTCCATTCCATTCTACAATCTGTCTATTCTATTCTATTCTACAATCTGTGTATTCTATTCTATTCTATTCTATTCTATTCTATTCTATTCTATTCTATTCTATTATTCTATTCTATTCTATTCTATTCCATTTTTCATTTCTATTCTATTCTATTTTCCATCTCATTCTATTCTATTCTATTCTATTCTATTCTATTCTATTCTATTCTCCCCCCCCCCCCCCCCCCGCTTTCCACCTCCATCTCCGCCCTTTAACGGCGCGGGCCATCCGCAGCGGATGCTGCACGGGGCGGGGGGAGCTCTCCGATTGGCTCTCCCGTCCGTGACGCGACCTCGGCACCACCGACTCTCCTGCCTCAGCATCACAATCCGGCCACGCCCTGCGTGGACCGCCTCCCCATCCACCCGCGGGGGTTGCAGTCAGCTGAGCTGCCAGCCCCGGCGCGCAAGGACTCATCTCCTCCTCCTCCTCCTTCTTCTCCTCCTGCGCGTTATCATTTCCAGCAAAGCGGAACAGGCGAAGCCGGGAAAGGAAGAAAGAGATAAAGAAAGAGAGAGAGAGAGAAAGGGGGGAAAAAGGAGGGGGCGTCCCGTGGCCCCCCCACCCAGCCCAGCCACCACCCCCCCACCCAAACNGACTATAGCATTTCTGGGGGGGGGGGGTTTTCAGGGGCCTGCCTGGGGATGGGGGTGGGGGGGCCTGGTTAAAGCTTCGGTTGCAAACCCCCCCCCCTCCTCTCCCTTCCAGACGTGCGAGCTGACGGTCCAAAGCTTTGGAAGCTTGCTATTGTTTTAAAGGCGCCCCTGCAGAAGATTTGCGCGGCGTTTTTAGTGCTTTTATTATTATTATTATTATTATCATTATTTTGCGCTGGGGAAAAAAATACCTGCCTGGATTTGACGTGGGGGTGGTGGAGAAGGATGGAAAGAGAAAGCGTAGGAGGAGGCTGGTAGGGAGAAAAGGAATGGACGAATGTGGCTGGGGAGGGAGAGACGTTGGGCTTGTAGCAGCCATTGACGGTACCAAAAAAAAGGGGGGGGGCGAGGGAGAGACAGCGGATTCGAGCAAATCCAGGCCTTTTTTTTTTTCTTTTTTTCCCCTTGCGAAGCTGAATCCTGCTGCTGTGGTTTTTTTTTCCCCTTGCAGGGGGAGAAAGAAGTGATGGGCTAGTAATATTTTGCTTTTTTTCCCCCCCAGCCTTGTCTGCCTTGTTTTTAAACGGGAGGGGAAGAGTAGCCAGCGGAGTAGAAGGATCCATCCCTTAGCTCGGTGAATTTCGAATGCAATGTGTATTTTATCCTTCAAGGATGAACAGGGGGGGGGTGTGTGTGAGAAATTTTGTAAGGGGGGCATCTCCGGATTTCTTCAGCTTTAGGAGACAAGGTGAATTGCTGGATGCTCAAATATATATATATTGCAGAACGAGCATGCAGGGCAAGATCACTTGGCTGCTGGTTTTTAAAAAAAGACCCCTGGGTTTTTATTTTTATTTTTATGTTGTATCTCTCTCTCTCTCTCTCTCTCCCCCTGTCACATTTTTCTGTCCCCCAGTTCAACAAGGGACAAAAATATCTGGTAAACAGATCGGAGTGTAAATCTTGCAGCAATTGTGCAAAACATTTGGGGGGGGGCTTTAGTAATGAAGAGGTAGCAAAGATGCAAAATATCTTTTTTTTTTGTCTTTTTCTCCCATCTATTCTAGCCTTTTTTTAAAAAAAAGAAAAAAAATAGTATTCTTAGGAGGACGAAATTGCCTTTAATTTTTTTTGGGGGGGGGATACTAACTCTTGAAGCAATTCCTTTGAACGGTTTGCAGAGTCTCAATGTTCCCCCACTTCTTTCATTGTATACCCCCCCCTCAAAAATTAATTTCTCTGTATGCAGTGCCTCTGATTTTTTTTTTTTTAAATGCACACGGTCCATCAAGGCTGTTTATCGCTCCCATTTATTCTGGGATTTGGCCATTGCATTTTAAAAGCAGATCTGAGGGATGATGATGCATTGAGGTCCTTTCCCCCCACCCCTGTAAAGCCAGAATGCTGACATGCTTTTTTTTAAAATAAAAAAAAATCAGCAATGTGCCAGCAAAATCGGAGTCTTTTGCAAAATGTGAGCTTGTGCAGAGGGACCAACTCATGCTTTTTATAGGCTTGCCTTTACATGGAATGTTCTAGCTGAGCTTGCTTAAAATCCTTTGAACTGTCTTCAGCAATTGTAGCTAAGCCAATTTTTTTTTCCTAAGAGGATTGACCAGAGTGAATCCTGCATAATTGCCTTGCAGGTTGTTGGGTGTATGTGTGTGTGTGTGCGTGCATGTCGTAGTATCCAGAGGCACCTTCCATGTTGTTGACCTGGCCTTAAATGCTGCAGTCAGAGACAGTTGGGCTGAAATGGGGGTGCAGTGCTGAGACTTGGCAGGGATTGGAGGTGGGGCTGGTGGAACGGGTGACGATGGCTGGAAAACCTCCTTACAATTCGTAGCCTCCCACTGCATCACGACTCCGGAGTGCTACACGGCCTCTCCGTGTCACTCTTAGGTGGTTTTTGTATGTTTTGTAAAATCCAAGGGACCTGGTCGCCAGTCACTCAGACAGGTCCCCCTCCCACGTTCCTGCTGCAGGAGCTATGTACGGGGGAGGTGGGATTTAAAATAAAAATAAAAATAAAAATGAGGAATTGTTTGGCCTTACTGAAGAGTCTTCTGTAAGCGAGGGGAGAAAGGAAATTCTGTGGGGTCCTAGGTGCTCTCTGAGCTTGGGGGTTTTCTTGTAGACGATTNGTAACATCATCAATTGCTGGAAGGGAGTGGGGTTTGCATGGGGGGGGCAGGAGGAGGAGGAGGAGGAGGAGGAGGAGGAGGAGGAGGAGGGGAAGAACTGTGGGGACCTTGGTGCTCTCTGAGCTTGGTGGTTTTCTTGCAGACATTTCATTACCAAGGAACATCAGTGGTTAGCTGATCCCAGGGCTAGCACTGATGATATTACCTAGCTGGGTAATGAAATGTCTACAAGAAAACAACCAAGATCAGAGAGCACCAAGGTCCACACAGTTCTCCTCCTCCTCCTCCTCCTCCTCCCCACAGACCCCACTCCCTTCTAGCACTAATGATGTTACCTAGCTGGGTAATAAAACGTTTGCAAGAAAACCACCAAGCTCAGAGGACACCAAGGGCCTCATACGTCAACCCTGAGCTGCAACTTTTCTCTACTGTTAATAACATTTTGCCTTGGTGTCTAATAATTGTGTACCTCAGAATATGAACGCCTTGAAAGGATGCGTTGGTTCCACACGTTTGTGAAGCTAGTGCAGAATCCTGAAAGGATGCTTTTCTAGGATGCTCCCTTTCCCTCTTTCTAGAAACTAGTATTTCTCAAGTCATATACATCGGTGAAGTGGTAAGCCAGGACATCAGTTAGATTTCCTGCTCCAAAAACTGTGGTTCTCTTTTCTCTCTTTCTTGAACTGTTCACTGGCATTTTTCGGTTTGTGTGCATCAACGTGAGACTTGGATTCAAGTCAAGTTGGGGAAAAAAAAATAATAATAATAATTTAAAAAAGCCAAACCAAACTAGCATGAGGTGAGAAAGCATTTTGACCGGTTACCGTGGCTACCACTTTTCATTAAAACTTTTCTCAGAAGATTAATCCAGGGATGCAAGATGGGGAGTTGCTTAAAGAGGCAGTGGGTTTTATAAGATGCATTACAGCTAAGCATCTTAATAAAGTTGGAAGGGACCTTGGAGGTCATCTAGTCCAACCTCCTGCTCAGGCAGGAAACCCTATACCATTTTGGACAAATGGCTGTCCAGTCTCTTCTTAAAAACTTAAAAACTTCCAGTGTTGGAGCATTCAGCTAAAAAGATTGTTTCTTAAGGATGAGTTCTTATCATAACAGATTCTGGGACACCTTTTCTTTTCTTTTTCAATTCACTCGTTTGTCACAGCAAAGATTTTGCCCGAATGAAGCTTTACCAGCTGTGTATCTACCTCTCACAAATGTTGTGCAGGGTCTCCTGCCTGAGCAGGGGGCTGGACTAGAAGACCTCTGATGTCTCTTCCAGCTCTAGCCTGACTGATTGAACTACTCAGGGAGAGAAGCAAATCTGGAATTCAGGAGAAAGTTCCTAAGAGTGAGAACAATTAACCAGTGGAACTCCTTGCCTCCAGAAGTGGTGGGTGCTCCATCACTGGAGGCTTTTAAGAAGAGACTGGGCAGCCATTTCTCTGGAATGGTCTAGGGTCTCCTGCTTGAGCAGGGAGTTGGACTAGAAGACCTCCAAAGTCCCTTCCAGCTCTATTCTGATTGGTTATTGATGCTGTCCACTTGCTGATTTATTGCTTTTTTTAAAAAAAAATTTTTTTAAATCAGTTCTCCTTTGGCCAAAGCAGTTGATTGAAAAACCTCTCTCCACGGAACCGGTCCCTGGTGCCCAAAAGGTTGAGGACCTCTGCTTTAGGAGATCTTTGCTTCTTCCGTTCTCCCAAGCTTCATTTACCCGTGTCATTTTCTCAAAAGGTTCTAGTCCCCTTGACCATCTTAGTTGCCCTCCTGTAAACTGAAGTGGGGGCAACGATTCCTTTTAACCCAGTAATCACAATTTGGCAATCTGGGGGCAAGTGTGTGGTGTAGAGTAGGCCCTGCTCTCTGGAATTGATGACATTAATTTTTTCCAAGCTGTGAAGAAACATAGCTGAAAGTTTGTGTTGTGTGGTGACAGGAAACGCCTGCTGTATCTTCTTCCTTCTTTTGTTTGAGAAGCTGTGTGTGTGTGTGTGTGTGTGCAAAGAAACAAAGTTTTTTTTTTAAAAAAAAAACCTTGCATTTTCCCATATGAAATAAAAGGGAAGCTTAACCTTCAACAGTACAACGAGAGGGACCTTCTAATCTGGAAACTGAATTTGAATAAATTTCCAGTTTTGCGATCAGACCTACACAAACAGCAACAGGGTTGTGAATTGTGAGGAATCCATTGCAGTCCAGGGGTTTTGTATGGGGTGTTTTTAGAACAGGCCTGTTATTTAATTTGATTTTAGCACAGAAACTATTTATTTATTATTGTGGTTTTTAGTATCGCCTGTTCACCGCCCTGAGTCCCGTAAGGGAGATAGGGCGGTATATAAATTTAATAAATAAATAAATAAATTGTGATCAGATTCAAGACGCTTCGTTTAGCCGCAGTCAATGCTATGATTAAACTTGCCTTTGCAATGAGTCTGGTGCCAACTCATCCTAGATTCATTCTTTTCCTAATTCCCCTCTTTTGATTGATTGATTTTTTATTTTTGGCAGAGATTATGGCTGATGTCATCAAGAAAGTCAAAAAGAAGGGAGAATGGAAGGTGAGTTCAACATAAATAAAGGGCTTTTTCTTACCTAAACTGTTTTATTCCTGTATTCCGCTGCCGTTTGAACGGGTTTCTGATTTAGCCGATTTTCTGAGTTTGCGCAACACTCAGTCAGATGCACACAAATATCATCAAAGTACTCTTCACTCATCTTAACACCATGTGTGAATGCTGCCTCTAGATCTGAATTTTATTTGATTAAATGGGTTGTATGAGCACCCATTTCAACCTACCACCCTAGAGGATGGTTAGATAAGTGTGACATCTACATTCAACAAATGCATTATTTGAAAAACTTCTCACATATCAAGAGTTGATGCAGGACTTGGCCTCCCACTGACCATAAAGCCAAACCTAAGATCCTCAAGTTTCTAATATTTAAGGCCAAAATGTTTTGCAAACCAATTTCGGACTGTTATCAGGACAAAATGAGTTCTGTGATCCTATCTCCTCCCTTGAAGAAAAGTGGTCAATATTTTGAGTGGTTTGTTTAAGAGAACTAAGGTTTCTTTTTTCCAGAAAAAAGAAAAGTATTTAGATGCAAAAATATCTGGATACTTATTTTGGTCCTGTCATGTGGGGAAATTCACTGGAGAAAGCCATGATGCTGGGAAGAGTGAGCGGTAAAAGGAAAACAGGCCATCAAAGAATACGGTAGCTGGATGTCTTCAAAGCTGACACTAACCAGAGCATTGAACAACTCAAAGAAGTAGGGCAAGATTGGAAGATGTGGAGAGATCTTCCCCAAAGAATCGCCAAGAGTTGGACAAAACTGAAGACACATCTGAATGGATAACCACCTTCTCCTCCTCCTCCTCTTCCTCCTCCTCCTCCTTCTCATCTTCCTCCTCCTCCTCCTTCTCCTCTTCCCCTTCTCCTCCTTCTCCTTCTCTTCTCCTCCTTCTCCTTGTCTATCTCCTTCTCATCTATCTACTTCTCCTTCTTGTCCTCCTTATCTATCTTCTCCTCCATCTCCTTCTCCTCCTTCTCCTCCTCCTTCTTCTCCTTCTCCTTGCCTATCTCCTTCTCCTTGTCTATCTCCTTCTCCTTCTTGTCCTCCTTATCTATCTTCTCCTCCGTCTCCTCCTTTTCCCCCTCCTCCCCTTCTCCTCCTTCTCTTTCTTCTTCTTCTTCTTCTCCTCCTCCTCCTCCTCCTCCTCCTCCTCCCTTTCTCCTCTTCTTCTCCTTCTCCTTGTCTATCTCCTCCTCATCTATCTACTTCTCTTTCTTGTCCTCCTTATCTATCTTCTCCTCCGTCTTCTCCTTCTTCATCATCCGGATACATAGGGGTCCACTTGTTTTTCTGAGCCAGTGGGGGCAGAGGGTCTTCTCTCAGGTAGGTTTAATGCCTAGAGCCAGTTCAGACCCTCGGGAGTGACATCTCCCTTCTCTGTGTCTTTCACAGGTCCTGGTGGTGGACCAGCTGAGCATGCGTATGCTGTCCTCCTGCTGTAAAATGACAGATATCATGACGGAGGGGATAACGAGTAAGTAGAACCTTTGGGTTGTGCTCACGCAACACACTTCGGGTCCCCAAACCCGTGCCTTCTTTTTGTACCACCTGCAGCGTTTATGTAGAACGAACCTCTGGAGCAAATGTTTGGATGCTCTTGTTCCTCACTACCCCTTGCTGAAATCCTCAAAGGGTTAGGGTTCCTTCGGCCTCCAGGAAGCTAAGAATGGAAAGCCAGCTGGGGAGTAGGAGATCACCTTCAAACGGAATAGATTTCCAGATCTGAACGGAAGTTAAAGCTCCTGAACCTTCCTTCTTTTTTAAAAAAAAATAACAAAGCAAAACTATACAAGACACAAGAGGGGAAAATGTGCATAAACAATAGCAAGGACAAACATATGCATAAATCGCCCCTCTCCCCCGGTTGAGTACTGATAAATATACTTCAACATTAACAATTTTCTCCTCTTGGGGGAAACAGATCTACAATTTATAACCTTTTACAGCTCTCTTTGACCTACCCTCTATCTACAGTTAACAGCCAAACCCAACAGCAGTGCTGAACTTCAAGGCCCTCAGTTAACAATCTTTTACTGTGTTTCACACCCAGAAAGTCCACAAAGGCTTCTAATCTATGGCTTCCTTCTGCTTTCCTCCTGCTCTTTTTCTCCCATGCAATCTCTGCTCGCCTCTATCCAGTTGTGGAGGACATCAATAAACGCCGAGAACCACTGCCCAGCCTGGAGGCTGTGTATCTTATCACTCCATCCGAAAAGGTGGGTTTTCCCCTGAACGTTGTTTCGTGTTAATGGGAGAGCATCTTAGCATGATAATAGACTTGCGACTTGGAGGTCTTCCGGTCCAGCCCCCTGCTCAAATAGGAGACCCTAAACCACCCCAGCCCTATCTGACTCATTAACAGAATAACAACAGAGCTGGAAGGGACCTTGGAGGTCTTCCAGTCCAACCCCCCTGCTCAGGCAGGAGACCCTAGACCAGGGGTAGGCAACCTTGGCTCTTTTATGACTCGTGGAACTCAACTCCCAGAATTCCTGAGCCAGCCATGCTGAGGGGAAAGGGAGAGGTTTCCAAGCTGAGCCATGGCTGGCTCAGGAATTCTGGGAGTTGAAGTCCACGAGTCATCAAAGAGCCAAGGTTGCCTACCCCTGCACTAGACCATCCTGGACAAATGGCTGTCTAATCTCTTCTTGAAAACCTCCAGTGATGGAGCACCCACATCTTCTGGAGACAAGCCCTCCCACTGCATTAAACATCTTACTGCAGCACACCTGACTGGGATTTGATATACCTTCCCTATTTTCCCTCTTTCCACTGGTTGATAAAATACGGTTTTTGTGACCCAAAGTGCTTTTTCAAAAGGCAACTGGATTTTCTTTGTGGTTTTTTTTTTCTTTGAGAACATTTCACTTCTTATCCCAAGAAGCTTCTGAAGAAGTCATCAAACTGGGAGCAATCAGAACCTTCTTGAAGGAGAAGCTATCTTTTTAAAAGCCTCCACTGATGGAGTACCCACAATTTTTGGAGAGAAGCCATTCCACTGGTTGATTGTCCTCACTGTTAGGAAATTTCTTCTTAGTTGTAGGTTGCTTCTCTCCTTGGTTAGTTTCCATCCGTTGCTTCTTGTTCCACCCCCAGTGCTCTGGAGAATAGGTTGTCTCCCTCTTCTTTGTAACAGCCCCATAAATATTGAAAGGCTGCTATCATGTCACCCCAGCCCTTTGTAGACTCAACCTACCCAGTTCCTGCAACTATTCCTTGTATGTTTGTATATCATACATCTTCAACCATTTTTGTGGGGCACTGGGCTATCCAAGGAAAGACAGTAAACCACGGGAACAAGTGAAGTTGACTTATAACAGTCCTTCTTATGGACAATTATTTCTACTATTTCTATCGTATTCCCGTGTCCACTATAAAAACCCTTTTTGCCCCAGCTCCTATTTTTACTTTTGTAACCCTGACAATTAATTTAGGCTGACATTCTTGATAAGAAGTAAACTGAATCCACTTTGTCTTCTTTCTCAGTCGGTGGAGTCCCTTATTGCTGATTTCAAGGAACCCCCAAACGCCAAGTATCGAGCTGCGCATGTCTTCTTCACGGACTGTAAGTATAGAGTAAACTGGGGTTCCCCCTCTGGGTTGTAAGATGTTTGAAGTTCCACATCATTTTTAGGATCTGCCTTGGGGGGCCACACATCAAACTGGGGTTTGTCTGCAATGGAAGCAGCTGCTTTCATGAGATCCCAGCCACGTTCAACTAACTCTGTTTCTAGGTTCCCACAAGCCACTTGTGGATTTATATAACACACGAAGTCAATAAATGAATTCCAAAGTAAGGCTAATCCAAGTCAAAGGTAGCACTTCATGCAAAATCCTAGAGTGTGTGAAAGCAGCCACTGAGCAATCCGGGGTCTTGTGTTGGAAGATCCTGAACTGAACTGTGGATTGATCTAGCTGAGTTTCAAAACCTGGTCGCCCAATGCTTGAACCCTAATCTCTTCTGGAACCATTCTTCTTGCTATCCTTGAAATGGGTGGGATAATATGCAGCTTTCCAGTTTGGGGCAAATTAACCGGTTAGTTTGTGTTGTTTAAACTTGTGGTTGCTGTCTTTTTCTGTTCCCAGCTTGCCCAGATTCCTTATTCAATGAACTGGTCAAATCCCGGGCAGCAAAAGTCATCAAGACCCTGACGGAAATCAACATTGCTTTCCTGCCGTATGAGTCCCAGGTAAACTGTTGACTGAGCTAGAAGTGAAGATAGACTGTTTAGATATAACTACATTTATATCAGTTCATTCTGTTTCTCCTCTGGGCTGTCACTGCTCTGTCTCATCAATGGAATCTTTCTTTGGAAAATGCTCCAAAGTTTTGGAGAAAATGACTTGATGTTCTTCAGATGCCTTCAGAAGTTGCGGGTGCTCCATCACTGGAGGTTTTTAAGAAGAGTTTGGACAACCACTTGTCTGAAATGGTATAGGGACTCCTGCTTGAGCAGGGGGTTGGACTAGAAGACCTCCAAGGTCGCTTCCAACTCTCTTATTCTGTTTTGGGCTTCATTACTTACTGCAAAAGCCATCATCCAAAACACTGGAAGAAAAGCAGAACTTCTACCCATGCACCAGGAAATATTCCATGCACCAGTTAGCCAGCTAAACTTTGCACCATTTGCTATAGGATCCCAATAGGATCACCCCAAGCTGCTTTAGTACTCTTGCTGTCATCCTACGCTCCCTTTTTTAGGGTTCTCTGCCTTGCAGAGTAAATCATGGAAAGGGATCAGCAGGCATCTACAAATACACCAAAACGGAGCTCAATTGTTTTATGGAGAGGAAAAATAAATAGTCTGGATTTGGATAGCCTTTTTGGTTGCTGTGTTTTTTCTGAGGAGTTTGTGCTCGCCACCACTTGCCAACAGGAAAAGCAGAAGATGACAGATTTGTGCAACTTTTCCCTCCGGGGCACCGAGGTGATTCATCCTTCTCTTCTTTACTCTCCTCTGAGGCTCATTTGCTTTGATCGCTGAGCTTTTGTGATGGGTGTAGTGCCCTTCTTTCCGTGCCTCTGTTCACCTCTGTTCACCTATTTGCTTCCACACGCTTGTTTTTCTTTGACTGTCGATTGTTCTTCCAAGCTACTGCCCAGTTGTGTGAGACTTGCCTCTCTTTCCATCTCCTCTTTTTTTAGAGCAAAATGGGGGAAGTGAAGAGCAGGAGAGGGGAAAAAAACAGATGGCAGATGGTAAAGCAGCATTGTAAATACACGGCAGATTGATTTTTTTTTTCCTATCTGCAAGCACCGCGCTTACAATGCATTGCTATTGGGAGTGAATGAAGGATATATATAAACATACTGGACCTTTTATATACCCGGGGTAGAGAACATAGTATCCTGGAGCTGGAAGGGACCTTAGAGGTCTTCTAGTCCAACCCCCTGTTCCAGGCAGGAGACCTTATATCATCCTGGTTAAACGATTGTCCAGTCTATTTTTGAAAACCTCCAGCAATGGAGCACTCACAATTCCTGGAGGCAAAGCTGTTACACTGATTAATCGTTCTCACGGTCAGGAAATTCCTCCTTATTTCTCGGCTGGTTCTCTCCTTGGGGGCTTTAGAGAATAGATCAAGCCCCTCTTATTTATGAGATCCCCTCAAGAACCGGAAGACAGCTGTCCTATCCCCCTCCCCCCCAATCCTTCTCTTCAATAAGCTAGGCATAGCTAGCTCCTTCAACTATTCATCATACAATCAATAGCATCTTCCCTTCTATTTTACTGGAGTTTTAACATTTGCATAACATAAAATGTACGTGTATACACACAAGTACTCAGTGCTGTAAACAGAGGTGCATATGGTGCATTCCAACATGCCCAGGACCACCTTAATGTGACGATCGACATTAGACATCAGACAGACTTCCTCCTGCATTTTTAGATAGCTGGTTTCTTTCTCTTCCTTAGGTGAGTGAGCAAAACACAGGGAAGTATTGAAATTAAAGACACCCCAGCTCCTTTTCTTTTTTCACTCTTGGGATGCCTACTACACAGTGGTGAGATTCAGCCAGTTTGCACCAGTTCGACAGAACCAGTAGCTAATTTTTTGTTGCCCAGGCCCAGAATGGGACTTCCGGAAGCGGCATTCGCACAGAGAACCGGTTGCTCACCTATTTGAATCCCACCACTGCTACTACAGGTTTACTCCCTGGATTCTTTTTCTTCTTTTACCCTCGTGATGCCTATTACAGGTTTACTCCCTTGATTCGGCGGACTCCTTCCAGAGCTTTTACAGCCCTCACAAGGCTCAGATGAAGAATCCAATTCTGGAACGCTTGGCTGAACAGATTGCGACTCTTTGCGCCACTCTGAAGGAATACCCAGCTGTCCGATACCGAGGGTGAGTAAGTGGAGTTTCTGGAGGACTCCTCCAAAGAACTCACTGTGAACCTCTCGTGATTTTAATTTAAAACCAAAGCAGTAGGTGCCCCATACTTAGGAAGCCTATCTTCATCCCTTTCCTATTCATCACGAAAGAGACATCTGTTAAGAGCTGGATGGACAGAAGCTTCTGGAAGTCCAGCTGCAAAAGCTCAGTATTGGGTGATCCTTGCAATCCCTTGCAATCTCCTAACACCCTTCTTAAGGAGGCTTCAAAGGATTTGCAATTCCTATGCTTCTATTCCAAGGGTGTCAAGAACCCTGTGGACTTCAACTCTCAGAATTCCCCAGCCAGTCTTCAAACTAAGAAACTAAGTCATGCTAGCTGGGGGGATTCTGGGAATTGAAGTCCACAGGTCTTAAAGGTGCCGAAGTTGGAGACCCCCTGGTTTATGCAATTCTAGTGAAAGACCTCAGGAAGGGATGCCCCTTGGGGGCTTGTGAAAATGATGAAGTGAGGTCATTGAGGGACACTATGGAAGGTTGAAAAGGAACCTAACAAAGCATCAACAAAACGTCCAACATCTTCCACAGCTTGTTACCCACCTTTCCCTGAAAATAAGACTGGGTCTTATATTAATTTTTGCTCCAAAGGATACATTAGGGCTTGTTTTCCAGTTGGGTCTTCTTTTGGGGGAAACACAGTATTAACAAAGTCATCGGGAAAACATCCCTCAATGGTATTCTAAAAAAATTACTATAGCAGCCCAGGAGAGTGGAGGGGAGGTGGTGCGTGTTATATGGCAATGAAAAGAGAAGACAAGTGTTATCCCCAGCATCATCAAGGGTCCCCATAAAATGAAATCAGCCCTGGTTCTGAAAGAACTGTTATGTTGTCCTCTTTTGGTAGGGACTACAAGGACAATGCTATGCTGGCTCAGCTGATCCAGGACAAATTGGATGCGTACAAAGCAGATGACCCAACCATGGGAGAGGTGAGCAGATCCTTGTAGTTAAAGAATAGAATAGAATAGAATAGAATAGAATAGAATTCAGAATAGAATAGAATTCAGAATGAATAGAATAGAATAGAATAGAATAGAATAGAAAATGGAATGGAATGGAATGGAATGGAAAATGGAATGGAATGGAGTCATAGACTTAAATAATAATTTTCCCAGCCAAACCCCCAATGTCTTATCTAATTCATATCAAAAAGTTCACTTTGTTATGGGAACCGTCTGCTTCAAATCCGCACCTGGTTCTGGTGTCCTTGACAAGGCTTCAGGCTCCCACATTCTTCAGCTGAATCGTTTTCATTTCTCCGTTTAACCCACTTGAAAGGAACATCTCCTCCCCTTAATCTGAAGGCAAGATGAAACACAGAGGCGCGTAGCTGCCGAAGTTTCACCCTTGAAAATATTGCTTAGCATTATTTTTCATTACTTTTATACTAGTCACTCCTTAAACAAAATATGTCTGTCAGAACAAAATCAACATTTCGGCATCCGTGTTGATGACCGAGAGGAATGTTCTTCCACTTGATGGAAAAGCAGGTTGGATACTTCTAATGGCATCTTGGTTTGTTTTCCCCAATCCAGGGTCCAGACAAAGCTCGTTCTCAACTTGTCATTCTAGATCGTGGCTTTGACCCCAGTTCTCCCGTGTTGCATGAACTCACGTTTCAAGCCATGAGCTACGATTTGCTACCCATTGAAAATGATGTCTACAAGTAAGTTTCTCTTGTTTACTTCCTGTGCTATTTGTGAGGTGTGGGGGGGGGCAACATATGACATGGAGGCCACCCCCTTGTGAACGATGTGTGCGTTCTTAGATTGGAATAGACTAGACTAAAATGATCTTGGTAGATTTGTCCTTGAGCATATTGTAGAAATCTGGCCGTGGTTATCCTAGATTGTGCAAACCAAGATATCTATTGATTCCTAATGTACTCTCTTAAAAAATTGGATCACTATGAATCCTATGTGCAGACTTGGATTCAGTGAAGTTTGACGTCCCTGTGATTCAAAACGGTGTGTCCATCTTAGTTTCCCCTCAATCCCAGAAACTTGTAGATTTGTGGGGTGAAGCCACTGATTCCTTTCAAATTCCCAGGTATGAGACAAGTGGAATTGGAGAAGCCCGGGTCAAAGAGGTCCTGCTGGATGAAGATGATGACCTCTGGATCACCTTGCGCCACAAGCACATTGCTGAGGTGTCCCAGTAAGTATTCTTTTTTTGCACGAGGGCGCATGGGAGGCTCTATGCTGCCCACGTGAGTTCTAATGATGTTTCGTCAGAAATAATTGGGGATGGGGAGAAAGAGCAGGTCAAAATAAAGACCTCCTTGAGTGGGCTTTGACTCCTGCAAGTTTCCTGGAGGCATCATTTCACTTTATAATGCCTTGGTAAGAATAGAATAGAATAGAATAGAATAGAATAGAATGGAATGGAATGGAATGGAATGGAATGGAATAGAATAGAATAGAATAGAATAATACTAGAATAGAATAGAATAGAATAGAATAGAATAGAATAGAATAGAATAGAATAGAATAAGAACAGAATAGAATAGAATAATACTAGAATAGAATAGAACAGAACAGAATAGAATAAAATAGAATAATACTAGAATAGAATAGAATAGAATAATAGAATAGAATAGTAGAATAATAATAGAATAGAATAATAATACTTGAATAGAATAATAATAGAACAGAATAATAGAATAGAATAATACTAGAATAGAATAGAATAGAATAAAATAATACTAGAATAGAATAGAATAATAATAATAGAACAGAATAGAATAGAAATAATAATAATAATAATAATAATAATAATAATAATAATAATAATAATAATAATAATAATAATAATAATAATAATAATAATAATAATAATAGAATAGAATAGGGAATAGAATAGGGAATAGAATAGGGAATAGAATAGAATAGAATAGGGAATAGAATAGAATAGGGAATAGAATAGAATAGAATAGAATAGAATAGAATAGAATAGAATAGAATAGAATAGAATAGAATAGAATAGAATAGAATAGAATAGAATATAGAACAGAACAGAACAGAACAGAACAGAATAGAATGAGATAGTAAATAGAAATAATAGAATAGAATAGAATAGAATAGAATAGAATAGAATAGGGAATAGAATGGAATAGAATAGAATAGAATAGAATAGAATAGAATAGAATAGAATAGAATAGAATAGAATATAGAGAATAGAATAGAATAGAATAGAATAAGGAATGGAATAGAATAAGGAATAGAATAGAATAGAATAGAATAGAATAAGTTGGAAAGGACCTTGGAGGTCTTCTAGACCAACCCCCTGCTCAGCCAGCAAATATAATATAACCACTGCCCGTTGTACCAGTTTTCAGATTGTTCATCTCTACCCTAGCTGCGGTCCTCTTGTCCAAGCAATCCGAATCAAAGAACTGTCCCCACTTAGCCAATTCAAGCATTCGAGTACGCTGCATCGATTCAGCCAGTGGCTCGCTTTGATTGCCCCCCCCTGCACGTAATTTATTCGCTTATTTGTCCTTCTTATTCCAGGGAAGTCACCCGATCCCTGAAGGATTTTTCTTCCAGCAAAAGGATGAACACTGGAGACAAGGTAATGGAATTGCGAAGGTTTGCAGATAGAGCAAGAGAGAATTCAACAAGTGCCTGGTTTTTCCCCCCCCACCCACCCCTAATTTCCCTCTCCTGGATTCTGAGAACCATCAGCTCAATCCTTCCCACAGGCACAATTTGGACTTGATCCCTCTTTCAATAAGGCCGTAGCGCTTGATCCTGGGGAGTTCCGTGATTTAGAATCCAAGAGCTTGGCTGAGGACCACCCCTCTCTTTTCTGCCTTTTCAGACCACCTTGAGGGATCTTTCCCAGATGCTGAAAAAGATGCCCCAGTATCAGAAAGAACTCAGCAAGGTATGTCCCTTTGCTACCGGCTTAAAAATTAAACCACCCAGCCTGCTAAAGTAGAGGAGCTGGGCCCTTCTAGGCAAGGCTGAATGACATATTGCAGAATCCTAGTTAAGAATTGTGGGAATTGTGGCTGAGCTCATTGGCTATTGAAATATGGATGGAGAGAGAGCCAAGTTAAGGAGGAGGGCTGTGGGGTCCTTGGTGCCCTCTGAGCTTGGGTGTTTTCTTGCAGACGTTTCATGACCCAAACTAGGTAACGTCATCAGTGCTAGAAGGAGTGGGGTTTGCTGGGGGGAGGAGGAGGAGGAGGAGGAGGAGGAGGAGGAGGGAGGAGGAGGAGGAGGAGGACGACTGTGGGGTCCTTAGTGCTGTCCGAGCTTTGTTGTTTTCTTGCAGACATTTTATTACCAACTAGGTAACATCATCAGTGCTAGAAGGGAATGGGATTTGCTGGGAAGAGGAGGAGGAGGAGGAGCAGGAGGAGGAGGAGGACTGTGGGGTCCTTGGTGCTCTCTGAGCTTTGTAGTTTTGTTGCAGACATTTTATTACCAACTAGGTAACATCATCAGTGCTAGAAGAGAATGGGATTTGCTGGGAAGAGGAGGAGGAGGAGGAGGAGGAGGAGGAGGAGGAGGAGGAGGACGACGACGACGACGACGACGACTGTGGGATCCTTGGTGCTCTCTGAGCTTGGTTGTTTTCTTGCAGACGTTTCATTACCCAAACTAGTGCTAGCCCTATCACTGATGATGTTACATAGTTGGGTAATGAAACGTCTGCAAGAAAGCAACTTAGGACCCCTCATTTCAAGCCCCAGCTACAAATATTCTCCTTTATTGGTAGAAAAGAGTATGTCTGGATTGCTGAACTCTTTTTCTTCTTGTTGTGTTTGCCTAGTATTCCACCCATCTCCACCTGGCTGAAGACTGCATGAAGCACTACCAAGGCACCGTGGACAAACTCTGCAGAGTTGAACAGGTACGTCTGCTCGGCTGCGTGTTTGTGGGTGCCTAAAAAGGGAGGAGAGCATTCAAATTGTGCTGAACCTTTGGCCCTTTCTCAACTTGTCTAGTTTTTTTTTCCCCTCCCCTTCCCCTGCCTTGTAAATCTTCCCAGAGTTTGGCAGAGGTTTCAAGAAGCCAGAGAAACAGCTGGCTGTCTTGCTGATCCCAGCTGTTTCTCTACTTTAACAAAGAAGTGGATTCTTGCAGGCTTACCTTGAACGCCTGGCTGGTTTGTAATGGCCCATTTTACATTCCTCTCCTGTTTTCCAAAAATAATAAATAATAATAAGAAGAAGGAACTCTCCTGGAGGCTGAATCCTTTAGTTCCCAGTTCATCCCAAACTCAACTGGGCAGAAGAGAAGTTCCCAATGGTCATGACCTAGTTAAGTGCAGGGAGATGTTCTGTCTTGTCAGGATCTGGCCATGGGCACCGATGCAGAAGGGGAGAAGATCAAGGAT